ACAATTATGTCTAATGCAAAAAAGGCGAATGATATGTCGCTAAGAGCCTTCGTGCTTTTAATATAACAAAATAGATTCTTGATAGGTTTTTTGAGAATTTAGTGCTTCTTTACTACCAAAAAAATTTCTAAAAAAAAAATAGCTGAAAAAAGCATTCTCTCCCCTCCCTCATGGACAGTTTTTCAACACTTAATGTAGGCGTTTGGATATAAGAATTGTGAAGTTCCGGAAAAAAATGATATAAAAAAAAACTCAAGCGAAAATAGTATTTGAAAATTGGAGTTGTGTTTGAACATGAATACAATTTGCAGTTATTTTTGAATTTTTGTGAGTGATTTGAAGTGAAAATTTTGAAAACAAGTTTTTAGAATTTTTCAAATTTCTGAAAAAAATTCGAAATTCAATAGTGAAATTTGAAATTTTCATCGCCAAACATTGATTCCGGAAAAAAAGTGAAAATTTTTCCGGAAAAAAAGAAGTGAAATTTTTTTTGTGGCCAAATGGGCCCTAATAAACCCAGCTAATTCGAAATTGAGATTTAGCTGATTATTGATTTATACATCCCAGACAAAGTTGAAACAGAAAAAAATCTTTAATAGGTAAAATCGCACAAAGTTCAGAAAATAAAGGAAGATGAAACTTATGTTATCATGTTGAGTCCCTATATGATCTTAGGCAATGTGATCTCCTCACCATATGAGCTAAATTTTGGGGTTGATTTAGGTACAAGGTCCATCTTCCTAATATGGTTAAGACAAGACTAATCTAATCTTTGGTTATGCAATGTCGGGCCCCAGTATTATATTATTCCATGCTCCAGCTATTCAACAATGGATGTGTAGGGGGTGTAAAGTGCAACATTAGACAATCATATGTGCATGAGTCCTAGATATGGTCTTGGAACCAAAGTGCAACATTAGACAATCATATGTTCGAGGTTAAATTAGGTCCAAGGTCCATTTTCTTCACAAAGTCAGTTAGAGTGCTTCCGCATTTACATATAAAGTTCAACACCTAGAACCAATTAGGTTTCTAGGAATCTGCCTAAGTGTGTGCACTTCTCTAATGTACATATAAAGTGTAATGTGCATTTTAAAGCTTGCAGAGACATATTTCAAAAAATGGAATAAGCTCCAAAAAAGATTTCGCAAACACTAAACAGTATGGTACTATGTTCTGGAACGTTACACCTTAACTATAAGAACAAACCACGAAACATGATTAACCAAAAATGGCAATAATTGGTTTAATGGCATAAACTGAGATCGTTCTGCTATAACGTGGCGGTGCTACCATTTGTCCCTTCAGGGACATCAGATAAAACTGTGAAACTATTTTTTCCCCTTTTTTTGGATATATCTGTGACACCATTTCATCACAGTAACCATCAAGTTTCACCTCAATCATCCACATTCAACTGTCCATGGAGCAGTATGAGATACATAGAAACAATGTCATAAATATTTATAATCAACTCAGACATGTAAAACTGCAAAAGGAATTATCAACATCCTTGTTAAATTATATGTGTGATTGATTTTAAGGAATAAAAACAAACAGATAAGGAAAACCACCAAAAATGAGAAAACTGCAAGAAATAAATTATCATATACTAATTCATTACCTTTCTATCCAAATCAAGGGCTTTGGAGGCTAATCCTTCAAGCCACTGAACAATTCGGAGGCATAGTTGAGCAGTATGATTCTTCACAACAAATTGGCAAGCTTCTAAGTGTGAAGTAGTTGGCAACTGCAAAGAACATAGTATGATAAGCAAAAATTAAACATAAAAGAAACTAAACACATTAACAGCAACAATACTACTCTGTTGACAACTAAAGATACATCACCAGGATAAGGTCTTCAGGAAGTTCTTCATTTCCTGCAAGAGGATGAAACGTTCAATTTAAATAACAATAAACATCTAGCAAATGAACTTGAGCAGGAAACTATTTTCTGTTCATTACGAAACCTTTATGCAGTAAAATTGCTAAAACACAACAAAAGGAGATCCAGCTAATAATGACATTAGTAAACTGCTTCCCACAAGAAAATCAAAGATTTACTACTCATTTAAAAGTGACTCGTGTCCACAACCACTTTTCAAGAGCCAAATGCAGAGTATATTTAGAAAGAACATGAAACTCCTTTTGTTAACATACAAGGAAATGGAAGATCTACATTATATGAATTCTAATACTACACCAAAAGGCTATCTCCAAGTGTCAATTGTGCACACAAATTGTTATATTTTTAATTACGTAGATGAAAGAAAAGTATCCCCTCCATTTCTTTAATATGAAAATTTGAGTTGTCATCAAAATTATCAACTTTTAAGTTGAAAACAATGTCCATTAGTTCATATTTCCAAATTGCATCTTTTTTTTAACCAAGTACAGCATTTCCAAATTGAATCTTAGACACTTCAAAAACTACATTGAGAATATTATCTACAATAAATGATTAGACTTTCATGATAATTGAAAAATTAAAAAGAAATATCAAACCGAAAAGTTAAAAATCAAAGAGTTAATTCGAACCATATGAATTAAGACAGACAGAGAAACAACTATGTCCAAAGACACACACAATTTTCTCACTACCAAAGTAAGAAGTGGCAAGACTTTCTAGCGATAACTTAAGAACATAGGTATTAAAAGGTTGACGACTTATTTCCTTTTCCATAAAGATGCCACAAGAGAGACCATGAAGCTGCCTCGTCAAGCAAAATCCGTGCCTTCTGTCTCATCAATTTGTCCTCCATAACTCTGTGCATTTCATTAGAACCATACCTACAGGAAAAGAGCACAAGAAATTGCAGTCTCACATGAAAACACAATAGATATATCCTCAATCTTGGACTACACTACAAAGTTCACAATAGCATTGGAGGATGTTGGCAAACACCATATTTTTCACAAATTTGGCATCTTAGTTTCTGTTGTTTTACTATTTTGTTCATTACAACCACTAAAAATTCTCTTTTTTATAATGAAAACATATTGAAGAAAACTAAAGATTATTTACCTTAAGGTGGAAAATTAGTCAAATAATATAAGAGCTCTTCACAGTGGTAGTTGCAGGTGAAACTGTATAATGGTTAAACAATAAAGTGGAAAGGCGGCAAAAGGGAAAACTTGGAAAGGACTTACTGTTATTTGAGGTCTTTGTAAGATATTTACTAAGGAGAGCAGTTTCTCTGCTACTAGTCAGAGCACATATTTTTATTACCCTGGCTTATTGGAAAAGCCAGATTGATACACTGAAATATGAAAGACTTACTAAAGTCAAATAAAACTTGAAAGACTAATGTGCTAATTCAGAAGGCTTCCACAATCCAATTGGCCTGATACACATATAGGAACAAGCAAATCCGGAGTATCAACACGTTTAACCAAGATATTTCCTTTTTCTTTAATTTTAAAGTTTAAACTACAGGAGGAGCACAAGAGCTGGAAAATCATTTTTAAAGAGTAATAAAGAGACTCCAAATCACAACAGATTTAAATGACTGCAAAAAGGGGGCAGCATGTGGCAAAGAAGAAAATAAGGTTGATTGACAAAGAGCTCTTTAGACCAAAATGGCAAAACTAGTCTAAGGCTTGGTGGACTCTTTAAGTGTCAACTTGTGGGAGGAATGTCAACCCAACTTCGAGATCCTAGTTTGTTGATCTGGAGTAACTTCGACAGAAGTTTATCAAAGTTACTCCAGCTTTCGCTGAAGTTTAAAAGGATGCAAAATACTTCTGAGGCAGGAATTTGAAATTGTCAAGCACTTAAAGAACTCAAGCATGTAATTGAAGATACACGAGAATTTTTGGAGCAAAAAAGTTGCACTCACAATAACTGCAAAAGCTAACAAAGACATAATTTAAACTAGCATATTCTTCATAGATTACAGATGAATTGAATGTCCACCTTTCGTATTAGCTTATTTCAACTAAAATCCAGTGCAGCACATTTCCAGCACCAACAATTCATGTCTTTCCTTTTATTTTTCTTTTATTATCAGTAAAACACTCATTACTTCTTATTACTATGGAATCAAAATGTAACTTGTGTATGATGTGCGGCTATAATTCCATAGTTTCGTACAATATGTGCCTTGCA